TCGCTCATATGACAGATGCTTTCTTTGTTTTAGTTGTGCAAATTTACATTTCCTCGGTGTCTTTTGTGCGTTGTTTTGTTGCGATCTTGACCTTGGACGTAATTGAATTTTTTTTTTCTTTTCAGGAAATGATGATTTTTACCCTGGGGGTTGCATGTATCCTAACCCCAAGGAACCATGTCTCTTCTTGTCTCTTGGCCGTTCTGTTGATTACTTTCCTCTTCAGAAGAGATCTCGCGTCAGTTTTCCCTTTGATATCAATCGAGAATGGTTTGATGAGCCGAAGCAGAAGGCATCTATTGAATCTCTGCCAGATGAATGCCTCTTCGAGATCCTTAGAAGGTTGCCTGTTGGCCAAGATAGGAGCGTCTGTGCTTCTGTATCCAAGCGCTGGCTTATGCTTCTAAGCAGTATTTGTGAGAATGAAATCTGCAACAATGGAAGTACCCTAGATGATAATTTGGTTGGTGATGATGATGATGAGGGATTTAGCAACGAAGGATATCTATCCCGAAGCTTGGAGGGAAAGAAGGCAACAGATGTTAGACTTGCTGCCATTGCTGTTGGAACAGCCTCTCGAGGAGGGCTGGGGAAGCTTACAATTCGTGGATGCAATTCAGATCGCGGGGTGACTAATGTAGGTCTCAAGGCCATTGCTCATGGATGCCCTTCTCTGAAGGTTTTCTCTGTCTTTGATGTTGCTACTATTGATGATGAAGGCCTAAATGAGATTGCTAGCGGGTGTCATAAATTAGAGAAACTTGACCTTTGCAAATGTCCCAATATTTCTGACAAATCTTTAATCGCTATCTCAAAGAAGTGTCCAAATCTGGCTGAGTTATCAATTGAGTCATGTCCCAACATTGGTAACGAAGGTCTACAAGCTATTGGGAAGTTGTGTTCCAATCTAAGGTCTGTATCAATCAAGGGATGCTCAGGAGTTGGCGACCAGGGAGTTTGTGGCCTCATGTCTTCAGCTTCTTATGTTCTATCAAAGGTGAAGCTTGAGTCGTTGATGGTGTCTGATCTCTCTCTAGCAACGATTGGGCATTATGGCTTTCAAGTTACCAATCTTGTCCTAAGTGGCCTGCCAAATGTCAGTGAGAAAGGATTCTGGGTTATGGGTAATGGCCGTGGACTGCAGAAATTGAATTCAATCACAATCGAATGCTGCCAAGGTTTGACAGACACAGGGATCGAAGCTATTGGAAAGGGTTGTCCAAATGTGAAAAACTTCCAGCTTCGTAAATGTGCATACCTGTCAGACAAGGGGTTGGTATCATTTACCAGGGCTGCTCTATCAATTGAGAGTCTAAAATTGCACGAGTGCCACAGAATTACCCAAATTGGGCTTTTTGGTGTCTTTTTTCACTGTGCTGCCAAACTGAAGGTTCTTACTCTGATTAGCTGCTATGGGATCAAAGATCTGGACATGGATTTGCCAGCAATCTCTCCTTGTGAATCGTTTTGGTCCTTAACAATCCGTGACTGCCCTGGATTTGGGGACGCTAATCTTGCACTACTTGGAAAGCTGTGCCCTCGTCTTAAGCATGTTGAATTGAGTGGACTTCAGAGAGTAACAGACGTGGGGTTTCTTCCACTGCTGGAGTGTTCTGAGACTGGTCTGACAACAGTTAATTTAAGGGGGTGTCTGAATGTAACGGACAGAGTAGTTTTGTCTATTGTGAACTCATATGGATGGACTCTTCAGGTGCTATGCCTTGATGGTTGTACAAGAGTCACCGATGCTAGCATGATGGCAATTGCAGGCAATTGCCCGGTGCTGTCTGATCTTGATGTTTCCAAATGTGCAATCACTGATACCGGTATTGTAGCTCTTGCACGCGGAAAACAGTTCAACCTGGAGATTCTTTCTTTGGCAGGTTGTATATCGGTTTCAGACAATAGCATAGCGGCATTTAAAAAATTGGGTCAATCCCTTGCAGGCTTGAATATCAAGCGTTGCAGTGCAATCAGCAGCCGGGGAATCAGCAAGCTTCAGGAACATCTCTGGACGTGTGACATCCTCAACTGAACAGGAAATGCCTCAGCTTTTATAGTTAGTGTTGTTCGTTAGTGTTTTTGGGTTCATTCGCGATGGATCTTTGTCATCCACTACTCGGTTCTCCTTTTCCAGAGGGTACAGTTATATTTAAACTCCTTTTTTTCCAGGTTTCCTTAATTGGAAATCTGTTGAAAGCTTTTTGGCATTCATTCTATCGATGAGATGCCTCTTTTATAATGACTGTATCACTGTGAGCAATAGTTACCGGGTTCTGGAGTTTTAGGTATCCCTTTTCTAGTGTTGGCACCTGATGTTTTTAGCAATGCTTTGTATCGGTTTTGCCACCATGTGTGTCCTTTGTCTTTGTTTCTTTGCAGGAGTATGTAACGAGTGTGTCCAGTGGTGTTTACCCAAATTTTCACGTATGTGAGCCACGTGGCATGCGTGTTGTTTGGGACTAAGTTTAATAGTCAAGGGGGCGTCTTGAAGTTCCAGTTGTTACTTTGACAGTTCAAGGTTTATGAAGCCTTTTGGCTTTGGGTTTGGCTATGGCAGCCCCATGTACAGGTCTGTCATCACAATCCTTTTCCCTTTTGGGGGATGGCTTGTTTTTTACCACCAAACCCTACTTTTTTAGGCTTCATTTTTGGAACTCTTCATTGTAACTAACCTCTATATGCCCCTTGTACTCTATGTTTATTTTATCAAAATAATGAATCAAAATTTGGTTCCTTGGTGAAAATTTCAGCCTGTGAGCAAACACTTTGTACAATGGCACGTGCAGTTCACATGCATTCTCATTAGGCAATTATTAAAAAATGACAAGTGGTACAGCACTAGTGAAACATTGTCATGTTATTATCTATCAACCAAAATCCCAACTTGGATCCAGTTCATCCTATTTTAACAAAATTCAAACTTTCATATTTTCTCTCCTCAAAAAATCATTTTGAAATTTGAAGTTCTATTTCCTTTTAATTTTTAAAAATGAAAATAATTTTGAAATTTAAAGCATAATATCTCAAGGACTTTGGTTGTATGTACTTATAATTTATTCAACCATTTAATTTATAAATTAGTGACGAATTTCTACTGGTTGTGAAGAAGGACAATCAATCGCAAGCATCTTTTTTCATCAATCATTCTCTATCGTATACGTTGAATAGTTCAGAAGAAATATACATCTAGAATTAGTCTTAACACAACTCATATTTGATATTAAAGAACATAAAACTGGTATGATTATTAAAAAAAAAAGGGAAAATGATAGCTATCCTATAATATATGTTTATTTCGTTTTTTATTGTGTGGTTGAAAGTTGTTGGATGCATAATGAATATGATGTTAATAATAAAACAACCACATGATTGAAAAATCTACGTACATGTATTGTCTTTCTTTTATTAAATTTGCGTAGTCAATATTAGTTGAAAACAACAAACCACAAACGCTCTTGGAATCCGAATTAGTTCATCAATTAAAATTGTGTTCACACGTTGGTCAACCCTGCCAAAAACAAAAAATACAGATATTGGGATAACCAATATATGATGCAGCTTCCAAACCTGACATGTGGATAATAAGAGTTAGTCTTAGTCATATATTTGTTTGATTTTTTTACCTTAATATTTTTGTAAAATCTATAACAATAATGAGTCATTTTATAACTCAAATTTGATTGAAAGGAGAATGATAACTTCAGTTTTATTTACTTATGTGTATGTTGCTTCTGGTTTATGAAGAAGATATAAGAAGAAAGATGATTGTGTAATGAATATAGTTTTTGTAATGACATAACCAACTATACTAAAACTACATTTTTGACAAAATATTCGTATCATGTAGAAGTTCAATAGTGGTTCAATACCACGTATACTTAAAGAACTGAGAGTAGCACATTCATTATACTGGTGTTTTGGGAAAAAGTAATTAATTAATCATCAGGAATACAAACAAATTCAATAATTTTTTAGAGACAAAAAATGTTTAAACCTTAAACTTTTGTACAGGAAATATAACAAAATTTAAGTTTAACGACTGCTTCCATTTTATTGATTTGTTTAGGTGACTTAGACCTTATGTATATGGCCAATGAATTTGGAGAAGGCAATTGCAGAGCAAGTCAAGCATTATAACAAGTGTTCACATAGGATATGATAGAACGTGCGTGAGGATCATATGAGCCAAAAAGACCATTCAAGGGGAAGTCAATTTATGTTTAACCACTTGACTGAAGCATGAATTACAACAAACACAAAAATCACTCAAGTGAAACAAGTATCATCATTAACAACTGAGAGAAAGTACCTAAAGGTGAAGGGCTGAAGCTGGAGCAAGTAATGGAAAAGGTCTGCATCCAAAACCAGAACTGTAGATAAGATGAAAAAAAAAATGACTAGTTTTTAAAGATAAGGTTTTGATCAAGAGATTCCAATGGTTGTTGGCTACATCGAGAGGGCTTGGTCTCTAATAGAAGGAGCCGTGAGTTCTTGAGAAAATGAAGGACTGAACGTTTCAATAGAACAATTTTAGAGAATAGATTTGAAAACTGATCAAAACTACAGAAAAAGTAAGGGGGGAATCATAATGAACTTTAACTACATGTAACAAAGTAATATTTATTTGCTTGAGTTGCTTGAGCATAAGCGGTTACAAGGTAGAATCCAGAGGTGAAAGTCGATGCAGAACACAGCAAAGCGGTACCACAATCATATGGCTCATGAAGCACGACACAGCTTGTTTCAAAATGTGACTGAGCCACCGATGATGGCAAACTATCTCAAAATTTTCGCCAACATATTAACTAAACAGACAAAGGTTGCATGTTGAAATAACATCAGCTAGAAAAACAACCTGAGAAATGGTTACATACATTGCTCCAAGAGGAGCAGAAAATCATAAGGACAAAACCAGCAAGCTTTAGGAGCAAACACAAGAAACAATGCTGCTTGGACAAAATGACATCAAAAACCACAACGGAATTCTGCAATCTCAGTCAAGCTTCTATAACATTCGCCAGTCGAATCAATTGATCTGATAGTTAATAATAGTTGGTCCTGTTCCTTTTGTTTGCTCAGAGCTCTGCCACTATAAGTTCTTGTGACAAGGTGAGTTGTTGCGGTTTCTCTTCAATGGCTAAATCCCCATTCACAGCAGGTGACTTGGCTTCACTTGGCTCTACAATCAGAGGCAGAGTTTTACTTGTCTCATCCAATAAGACATTGCTCTCTTCAGTGGCTGCGACTGCTTCAACTTTCTCTTCCCCAGTTGAAATGGATAAGGTGGTAACTTCAGTTGTTACACCTGATAATGAGGTTTTGTCATCATTCACCGCCTTAGATGGGGTCCGAATAGATGCCGGATTGGATGAACTGGTCTTTTCAGAAGTCAGTCGAGGAGGAAGAGACTTTCGTTGTGTCCTCTTTTGATGAACAAGAGTAGCTCCTTTAGTGAGGTTAGTCTGAGACACTTTCTCATCCAGACTTAATCGACCTTGTCGAACACTATTGCTAGTGTTTCCTTCTGACTCCGAAACCAGTGAACTCTTCTTACGACCAAGTTTGGGAGATTTAGCTCTTGTAGTGGGCATCTATATTAGTAAGTCCAAAAGCTTATTAAATTTGCAAATGACACAAGACCAAACTTGCAAACACAAAATAAGAATAAAACGACATCAACATAGAAACAGTAAAATAGAAAAGCAAACAAGACTTCATTTCACCATTGAAAAGTTTTAGTGTCACTTAGAGAGATTTAAAACCATATGCTAATATAAGAAATATGTTTCAGAATGCTGTCTAAGTTTAAATAAAATTAGTATAGAAACACCTGATCAAGTATAGAACAAATTAAGACCTATAATTTTAATGCAGAAAGATAGGAATCGAAACTCCTGTGAACTTACTTTGGAAAATAAACAAAACCACCTAAAATTTCATAAACCATATGATATGTGCCATGAATAATATAACAGGTTTATCTTTTACATCACCTGCAAACTAATGTTGGTCCAACAACTTAAATAAATACAAGTTCTAGGGCATGTTTGATTACTCTTTTAAAAAATAGTTTTATACCCTTGTCACAATTACTTATTCGGCATTTCCTTACATTCTAATATCCAACACACCTAAACTTTATGTTGTGCATGGCTATAAATCCAGTGATGCTTCATTTTATACATCGTATATTGATCAGTCATTCTTAACAACAGGTAAGAACAAGCAAGACAATTTCATTAGGCAGCCCAGGTACAAGGCCATAGGAAAAATATGTCAATAGCCTTAATGGTCCAATGACAACTAAGGCCCCGACATTTTTTCATACCCACAATAAATTATTCTCATTATTCAGTTATTGAGTAAAAAATTTAAGGTATTTTATTCTTTTGGTCCTTTATCTTTTAAATTTGTGTCAATTTAGTCCCTTAAAATAATTATTGTTTTCAATTTTAAGATAGGATTTTTAATCATTTCATAACTGATTCTAGGCATGGAACTTGTCTTATTAGATTCACATAATTCATACGGAACCCAGCTGGTATGTAAACAAAAAACAGAAGCATAGAAATTCATGTAAAGATTAGATTTCAGGAACTGCCAAGAGGAATCCGATTGACAATTTTGTTGTTCCGGGGGATTCAATTTTCACGCAATTTGTAACAGTTGGGTGGGCTCTAAAACCAAATAGAATAAGTTTCACCTCCTAAATAAGTAAAAAACAATGGTTTAAAATGTATCTTAAAATAAAACAAAAAAAAAATAACTATTTTAAACTGACCAAATTGACCCAAATTTAAAAGATGAAGGAATAAAACAACTTTTTAAAAGAGAGGATCAAACTGAAACTTATACATAAAATTAAGAACCAAAAATATGTTTTAGCTAAAATCTTATTAAAACCGAAGTTTCATTCAGTTTTCCTTTGTTTATTTTGAAATGGGTTTGTTATCAACATAATAGTTACAATCAAGTTTTGAAATGAGAAACAGAAAAAGGTTCATTTGACTCACTAAACTATTAAATTTGAGATTTAAGAAGCCACGTGAGAAAAAGTGGAGAATTTTGACTCATACATTTTAAAACAAGAGAGATATTCAAAATTGTGTAAACTAGAGCAATAAAAGTTATGATTCATGCTGACAATAAGACAAAAGGTGATGAAGCCATTGATTAAAACAGAAAAAAAGGATTGCAGAGAATCAATTTGGTTTCATACTAGGAAAGTCTATACAACAGAAGCACTTTAACCAAAATTGACGAAAAGGTATTGAAGCAAAGAAAGAGAAGACATGGAAAAAGATATGATCGAATGTCAAGCGTGGGAAGGCTTTAAAAAAGGAAAGTGTTCTTTTCTTGACTTATATTCAGGCTATACAAGACATGTATGATGGATAGTCTAAGAACTCCTAGAGGTGATAGACTTTTTCCTTAAGCATAAGTTTATGAGTCCTTGACTAATAAAGAAATGGATGCCCTTAGAAAGGACAAACACAAGATTCTAAATTGTACAAAATATGATTAATTTTAGTTGACGAATCAAAGGAAGAGGTTAACTTTATATTTGAGCTTTGGAGACATACATTGGAGCCGAAGGATTTCTACTTGAGCAGGAGTAAGACAAGTATGAGCATTGCAATTTTAGTAATAAACAAGATGAAAATGACTTGGAAAGTAAAAATGGGAGAAGATGTTATATCATTGGTTTCTAAGTTTAATATCTAGGATCAATTTTACAAAAATG